AAACAATTGACCATTACTTTAAGTCGACCTTTTCTTTGTAAGCTGTAGCTCTATATAATTTGGTTTCCCGGTTTTTTTATTCAAATGCCAAGCCGAATATCTTTTGGTCCTTTTTGCCTTCCAAATGAGTAATTGTATATTATTTTTAACAAATTCAGGCGTTGTAATATTCTTTACGTTCGGCATGACCTCACGTATGTCGTGTGTAAAACTCATAACTTGTTATTAGTCTTCAAACATTCCGTTATCGGAAGCTCTGCCTTTAGTTTTCGGATAAATCAAAATTGTACTGTATTGTGAACAAACTAATGCGCTACTATAAAATAACGCATATGGAACAGAATTTTCACAACACAACAAACATATATCTTCATTACCACACAATCTAAATTTGTATTTTAATATATTTTATTTATTAACATTATTGTAGTTTAGAATTCAACCTAAAATCAAATGTAAATAGGCAGAGCAACTTAGAAATTAAAATTCTATTTTATAATATTTTTAGCTTTTAAAATACAATTATTTTTTCGATATTTACTCCTGCTTACAGAGAGGGCATTTAAATTTGCGGTACGGCTGGCAAAACCCCTCGATCGAATCGAGGTTCTTCAGAGCCGATTTCCCAATAATATTACTGAATATTACATACGTTCGCAATTCCACCCTCATTCCCAAACTGAAACTAGTAGCGGCTTAATGGCACTTAAAACTTCCATAAAAATATAGTATGTCGATTTAAGTTCTATATTCAATCAGAAAGTAAATATATATATAGATATCGATTGTATTCATGAACTAATTAAAATTCACTTACTTCATACCAGATCTAAATAATTTTGCAGCACACAGCAAGTGCTAAAAATTCATATTTGCTGAGAAATTGAATTATAAAATTACTACAAACTGCCCAGACGTCAAGCCAATCTGTCTAAAATATTCCAGCTCAAATTCATGTTTTTCCTAAGTGTACGGCTCTAATGATATATGAAGTATAAATGTCGTGACACTTCAATTCATTTTTATAAATTACTCCTAAGGATTTCTTATGCTTAACTCAAACAATTCCATTTGAATTTCAATTGAGTTTCTTCATTTTATTATCATTGGCAGTTTCTTGTGTTTAACTGTCGCTCAGAAATTTCAATTACATTTGAAGAATACTTCATTCTATATAGTTTTTCATAATGATGTCCTCATTCTGAATGCAAACTATTATTGTCGTGCCATTGTTTGCTCCAACTCGTTCAATATTTTATCACTTAATGTGCCTTGAAACGCTACAAAATTCCTTTGACATTGACGTGACAGATAAATTATTCAGGATTTAAAAGGATTGGCCGATTATAGTGTTGCAACAAATTTAAATTGCATGAAAGCTAAAATCGCATCGGCTAAGCCGATTGGCCAAAGCATTTAGAGTCGACACTCATTCAGGCAATTATTATTAACTCGGCCGGAGACACTTTTTGGCATTTATCTGTCCACCCTTACATTCCGAAATGAAGATATAATCGCATTTGTATTTGCATTGCACAGCAGGAAATCGAAGCTAACAAATTGTGAGCTGCGAAAAATATTCGTCTGGATTAAAGCTGTCAAAGCTATTTCCGTTGTGACCTATTTCTGTGTATCAGCTCCTTAATCAATTCCAACTGAAACTGAAAAATCGCTCTGACGTCGCCGGAACTTCTGTTTGCAACGCGTGTGTTTGCATAGCTTTTGATAGCACACTTTTATGTTGGTATGTATGTACGAGTGTATGTATCTGTGTGCGAACATCGTGCAAATGGAATGGCAAAAAAAATATATATATCAAGAAACTTAAATGGGTGGCCGTAAAACTTTCTGACTTCTGGACAAGAACTTTTCAAGCGAATTTGGGGCGCGTTGCAACTAAGCAATAAGGCCAGCAATAAATTGCACTTTACTGAACTCGAGCTCTACCGAGTGGATTGTAAAGACTGGCCGGCAGACAGTGAAATGAGTGGCATTTCAATAATGATATTCAACTTTATTAAAGAGGTGGGAATTGAAATTATTTTCGGTTTCTTAGTACAGTTAGCGGCCACTTCAAGATATTTTAAGAAGACATGTTTTTATTAAGCTGGCAAAAATTATTGTTGCCACATTCTTTATAAAATCTTACCACAAGATGTTGTTCATTAATATATCTCTCTTTATTTCATAAGCACACAAAAACACAAGGAACAATAAATTAAAATGCATCTTATATTTAGTTCATTAATATATCTCTCTTTATTTCATAAGCACACAAAAACACAAGGAACAATAAATTAAAATTCCCGCAACAAAAAAACAAGATAAAAACTAAATGAAAATGAAAAAATAAATTATGTGTCCCGCCAGCACACTGTTTTTATAATTCCAGCAAATAGTAATTAGAGATATTATAAACATATATTAAAATAAAGAATAACTAAGAATAGCAGCTGTTACTATGCTACAAATGGCATGCTGAAATACAAGTGATATAATTAATGCCTTCAAAATATATTTCAAATCGGTCAAATTTAAAAAGTTAAGAGAGAATAGAAAGTACACACAGAATATATACACTATATCTTAACCATAATATACGATATTACTAATGCCTTCAAAGTATTCAATCAAATTTCAAAATTGAAGAGAGAATAGAGAGTCCATGCAGAATATATATATATAATGTATCATAACCATAATATACGAAACAAACTAAATATAAGATGCAATATACATTTGTTGTCAAAACAGAAATGAAAATAGCAATGTTTGCTTCCAAAAGAGACAAGATTGAGCAGATTGCGGAATGATTGATTGAATGGTACGAATAAATATTAAGTAGTACGCTTTTTCATGAAACACATAGTTTTATTAATTATTTTTTTTTTTTAAATGTATGAACAAAATTTAAAACTCCACGCAGTGTTAAGCTAAAGTAATGTCATCAAAATACTTTAAATTGTTATGAAAAGAATTCTAATAGGAGGTAATGAAAAGCACAAACTATATGTGTGAGCATTAATTAATCAGCTTCAGCTTTTATTTAATATTTAGTATTTTTGTTACAAAAGAAATAGAATTGTTATTTATTGAATTTTTCACTAAGCTACTTAACTAGTAATTCATAAAAAAGCAGTGCATTGTACTTAGCAACAACTAACTACTCTACACTACACAGTGCGGCTCTTTTCTCCACTTTAGTTTACTTTGCTTTTATTTATATCAAGCCCCTCGTTAAGCCTGAAATTCGATGTGCAATGCTGTGGCACATAGTATAGCTCATTAAATCCGCGCAATCAATTAACCAACTAATTAACTAATAGCTAAGTCGTAGACCAAATAACCGAGCAATAGACGATGTGCGAAAATAGCTGTTGCATTCGCCATGGTGCGAGCATAAGTCGATGCCTGAGTTTGATTTATGGCGCGCAATAATAATCTTCATTTGCATGTTTCAGTTGGCTACAAAGCACATACACCACCAACACACACACACACACACACATACACACACATACACACACACAAACACGCTCACATGCACTGAGGCTGCCACAACGTGACGGCAACAAAACTTTATGCATTTGCGAATAGAGCAAACAACACGGCGTATACTTAATATATAACAAGCAAGCGCAGCAGAAACGGCAGCAGAAATAACAAAAACAACAAGTTGCACTTCCGGCAGCAAGTTGCTCTTTTCACAAACAAACACACACATACAGATTCACCGCAATGATGAGGCGGCGGTGAATTCAGCTCCATTCGCTGGAGATGAGCGAGAAGTTCGTGAATTGGATTGAAAACTTGATTTTCCCGGTAGGGAAAGAACTTTACACTAAAAACAAGCATATGAATATATTCGAATTTTTGAAAAAATGGAAATTATTAGATTTACGTTGATGTTAAGCACAGAAGCCATAGTCGTGCATAATACTAACTATTGGAAAGCCCTTAAGTTATCAATTCGCTTCAGAACCAAAGTATATCAAGTATATTATTTATTTATTTACAATAAATTAGAAAATAAAGTCAAACATAAACATTTAAATGAAATAAAAATGCTTAATAGTCGTAAAATAAAGTGATTTATGATAAAGTACGTAAAGTAATTCTTTTTCACCTAAAATTCTTAAATATTGGGAGCATTATATTTCTAGTCTATAGATATCTCTTATTAGACAATTCATTGAGAGGTAATTGAAAATGAGTCGACAATTTTATAAGCATTAACAATTGATAATTACTTTATTTATTTTTCTTCAATAATAAAAACAACAAAACATAGTTCACAGTTTTACTAAAAATTCTGATTATAAACAGTTTTGAATATACCTGAATGTTGTGTGCTCAGATTAAAAAAATTCTAGCGTAAATAAAGAAAGACTTTAAATTGAGCAGATCTTAACAATTTACATATTTGTAGCTATGACTAACTAAAAACGATATTTTTATAGAACCATTCAAAATTGTCAATTAAAATCTATCTATAGATTTTTTACTATCTATACTTCAAAGTTGGGGAAATATTATTTTTAAATTGCCTCTGATTTGTCAATAAATGCCAAAATTAATTACTTTTATAAAACTCCACATCTCTGACCCGATATTATCAATAGTATAAAGACGTCGGCTTAGAACTCAGATTATTTGCCTTTCATTTGTTGAAGAGGTGCAGTCTGCTTATTACATTTACAAAATTCGTTTCTAAGGTATTAAACTGTGCTGTACATTGTAAGCAAAGCAATTACTATTTTTCTGTAATACAGCTGTAAGCTTTAAGGATATGAGCGTGGCAAAATATTAAATCACGCTGCCATCCCTGTGGCCGTAGCCACAGCCTCCCCCCATTGGGAAATTACTTGAGCCAAGAGCAAGCGCGCAGTTTGCAATTTTCTTAGCCCTCCATCTCCACACTGATTTATGTAATTTTGTATTCCAGCACATTTCTCAAGCTCCCTTCTAACACACTTCTTCTCTTCCCTCGTCTTTCGCAGATGTTCGCTTCATTAACGACTTAGCGCAGCGTGAAAGCAAAAACCGTCGACTTTAAATGGTCGAGGCGAAAAGGAAGAGCTAACAGGGGCGCAGGAAGACAGCCCAGGAAACTGAATACATTTTTGCCAGCGAATTTAGCTAATGAGTTATTATTAATATATATTTTCTATGGGAATTTACGAGCGTGCAAATGGAAATTGATATTAGGTTGTAAATAAAAGCCAGCAAGCTAAAAAAAAGGGATAAAAAGGAAAGCTGTAGATACTTACGAGTATTTCCCAGAAAAGGAAGAAAGGAAAAGAGAGAAATCAACAATAAAATTAATTGGGAAAGGTTGATTGAAATATTTAAATTAAGATGGCCTCACCACCGGAAAGTCCCATCGAGGAGGTGGTCTATGAATTGGAACACACACGCGTGCCTAAACCCATTCCTGTAGCCCTGGAAGATTTGTGCCGCCAAACGAAATTCACAAAACAGGAAATCCGCGTCATGTATCGCGGATTTAAAACGGTAAGTGTGAGAGATTCTGTCAGACAGAGATACAGTATACACGCATATGGCACATACTATATATCATAATTCATATACGAGTAGTAAATGGGAATTTGCACACTCACCCACTCACATACACACACACACTCACACTAAAACTCTTTGCAAGCGTAAAGCACTCAAATTTATGAGAAGCTGTAAAAAAAACGCTACACAAAAAGCGCACTGGAAACAAAAGCCAAAGCCATGTGGTCCATGAGCGCGATAGCTGGCCGTGTTGGGAAAGAACGAGCGATAAATGGCCGTCATTTTAATGCACGTGCGTTTTGAATTTCATTGCAGATATACTGCAGATATAAGTACAAGTATATCTGTATATGTGTGCACACCACAATAAGACACTCAAGCCACAAACCCACACACCTTCGTGTGTGCATTGTGTTTCTCACATTTAGCTTCGATGTACATATTTCCATGTACTATACACTTTTGTAAAAGAACTATAAATTCTTATCAGAATTCTAATTTATACCATCTGATATTTAAACTTTATATTCAGTTTCATGCTGCGATCAACAACAAATAATTTTCCACAAAAAGGGCAACGAAGGGATTATTTTTAGCGAAAATAAAACTATTATCTTATCTTATCTTATCTTAGCGCCCCAATTATTTGCAGTATTCCTTAAATTCTCTTTAAAAAAAAAACTATTTTAGTCAAATTATGTAATTAAATAAAATGCTTTTTAAATTGCATTAAAAAACCTCGTTCGACTGTCCTATATTTTAGTTCTAGATTCTGAAACAAATTTCCATTCACGGCTATTTATGTGGAAGTTAGTCTCTAGTTATTTATAAATTAAGATATATGTTAATGTTTGGATTATTATTTTAAGAAAATACGTGGAATTAAAGCACCTTACAAATACGCTCGCTCATTTCCGGTTAGGCAAAATTCAAATCAGTTTGCTGACTAAACAACCTCTGAGTACGACACTTTTCGAAAAAATTTCGAATTTTAATAAATAATAAAATGGGGCTTCATAAATTATCCTCAACAACAAAGAAAATCAAATCCCAACCAAAATGTTATTCTGGAAAAACCGATGTCGACCATTTATTGACTCCAAGCTACAACAAGAGCTCCAAAAACTGCCACTAAGCTGAGATACTAGATGTCCACAAGAACCTATAACAAAACCTAAGTCGGGATGCTATCCAGGATCGCCTTTTCTCACAAATTCCAAGTATAACTTCACAGGCAGAGTGCTATCCGAAGTGCTTTTTGAATGTCTAAACATTTGGAAGTAAAAACTTTCAAAGAATCGTGCCATATCATTATTTTTTTTTTTTAAAGAACTGTTGGCGCAGATGCTGCTTTAGATTAAGATAGTTTAAGAGAATTATTTGAATTTTAGTTTAGGGCGAAAAGAGAGCGCGAGAGCGGCCGTTTGCGGACGTCGCCTCGCGCCCTTTTTTCGCCGCCTTAGGCTTAGTTTAGCATGTAAGCCTAAGTTGAAGTCAGTTGCAAAATAGAACCATATACAAGCACAATTGTTGCCAAATCGTTCACATTTCCGCATTAAAAAGTTAAAAGCAAGCGTCCCATTCTTTCTTTGTTTTTAATAATTTATATAAAATCATATAAATTTTCAAGAACTATATTATATATTTTTTAATGAATATAAAACACAATTAATGTTTGGTTTACAAATTGAAGTTTTGCCTAAAATCGGTGCTGATAATCATTATCATTAATTTCACTTTGTTTTATAATCAAATCACATACTTCTTTCTCTTCGTTACATCTCTCCTGTCGCCGCACTCATAACTCAGCATTAGAGTAACTCTCCTGGATGCGGTTGAGTTGGCGCGCCTTTCATTTTCATTACATTTCGCCTTTCACACACCAACATACTATATTGTCACATATATATTTCATAGCACTTTCTTTACTTGCAGGAATGTCCTGAGGGTGTGGTGCACGAGGATTGTTTTAAGGATATTTACGCCAAATTCTTTCCACATGGCAGTGAGTATTTCCTTGACTGTGTCCGTCGCCTTCGTTCAGTGCTTTTAGCTTTTGCTTTTTATAGTTGCGCTCCATAAAGCGCCACTTAAATAAAATTCATTTATGAGCCCCTGCAGCCGCTTGAGCCCCTCACCCTCACTCTTCACACTCATATGCTCATTACTAACGAAGTGTTGCCAAATTTTCTATTTTCGTTATAGATTCCAGTTTATATGCACATTATGTGTTCAAAGCATTCGATGTTAATTGCAATGGTGCCATTAGTTTTCGGGTAATTAAATGAGACTCATAATGTTATTGGATGTGTGTGTGTGTGTGTGTGTGTGTGTGTGTGTATCTGCTAAACCTATTATACATACATCTATTGTTTGCCCTTCCATTAGGATTTACTGGTCACCTTGTCCACACTGCTGCGCGGCTCAGTTTACGAGCGTCTGCGTTGGACCTTCAAGCTATACGATTTGAACGGCGATGGACGCATCAGTCGCGGCGAGTTGAGCGAAATCGTTTTAGCTATACACGAGCTTATGGGCAGGAGACCGCACCAACCGGAGGAGGATCGCAAAGCGAGGGATCAGGTAAGAGTTTACTGCCTCTAAGGAATTAAAGAGCTTCATAGTTTACTCACTCATATTTTTAGAAATTCATTAACCGTAAGGGCTTTAAAAAATAGAAACACCAAATTGGTACACATTGGCCTATATTTAGAAATTTAAATTCCTTTATCCTCCAATATCAGCACATGGTTAACAGATTTTGATTTTTAGATAGGGCTTTAGTTGTTTTTTATATCAAAGAGAATGATTTAGAATTTTTGAAACGTTCTCTATATTTCTTAGCTCTATTCACTCTGCAGATATTTCTTAAGGATTGCAAAGCTTCACAGTTTATTCAAGTTAAAGAATTACATGACAATTTGCATAGCTGCTATATAGCTATCATTATTTAAAGAAACTCATGAACCGTAAAGTCATTTGAAATTAAAAACAAGAAATAGTAACACATTGACGTATAGTTAGAAATTTAAATTCACGTTTGTTTTATAACTCCCGTAATTCGTGGAATTTTGAATTCAGTTTTAGTCGTTACCTCCAGTTAGTGCTTATCTGTCCGTATGCCAAGTTTCATCAGGATAGGTCAATTCTGAGGAAAGTTATAGCCATAAATAAAATCGCTGCCCATGCTCTGCTTGCAGCGCTGCCCGCAGCTGTTATTGTTGTTGCTTATATATACACGTATATAAACAAGCAAGTAATGTAAATGTAAAACTGTACATAAAGATGTCTTCTATGTATGTATTAAATACATTTTCTTAATTAATTTAATAAATTAATTACATTTTTTTTTAAATAGTTTAATTTTTTTTTAATATTTTTCTTTTTTTTAATTTTTCTTTTTTGTGGAATGTACTGTTGGGCTTGCTCGACTGTAGTGTTCTATCTTGTTTTTCCTTAAATATCTCGAAAAAGGTGTTTAATTAAAATTTCTGAAATACTCATAGATTTATAGATTCATTTTATAGACTTTATTCGAAACATACTTAATGGTGTGAATCATTTTTGAGTCCATTGGGTGATTTCAGGGGATTTCATTATTGATAATTTTGTAATATGATGAGACCTTATTGTGAATAAAAGTCCGACTCTCGAATAGACTTTATTCGCCCTTTAGCCTCAGCTATAATCATTGCTTTTTGTTGAACTAATCATATGAATTAGTAACCCGATATGGGTTGAACTTCAGATTATGATGAAGAACTTTAAAAACTCAAAAATAACTAATTTTGTTACGATACTTTTTGGAGTTTAACTCGATTTCTGCAGCAATCGAATCTAAGGCAGCAATATAAAATATTGAGGATACATATAGCTTAACAATTCTAAAATTTGGAATTAACATGCTTTACATGTTTCGCCTTTCAATTAAATACAAACTACAAGCTATTTTCTTCCATTTACTCTCTCAGAACGCTATTGCAACTTTCCAAAATCTTTTGAAAGATCTGAAATGATATACACGCAATAAAAATACTATATTAGCTCCGGCCTCACTTTTTAATTAAAAATGTCGACAGCGAAAGCAGGTCAGAAAAGTTTGCCCTGCTAATTTTCATTAACATAGAATACATTTATTTGGAAGGCAGACGGATCTGGCTACCTTTGCCCTACCTTGTGCTTATTGATTAGAAGTTTTTAACATTGAATATTTCATAATATATCTGTATGCATTTCAGGCAGAGAGGTAATGAAAATTTGCAATGTTTGTTATGAATTTCGCGATTTCATGCCCACATAAATCTGTTTAATTAACACAATCACAGATGCACTTGTATCCATGTTTGTTAATCAATTAAATCCAATTAGGTTGGACTCAACAATGCCCTACCACAGGCGTCATTGGGATGTCAAGTAGTCAGAGACATAAGCACAATGCCGCCCATTGATAAGCTTTGCCGCCTCAGTGCATTTCAAGCTGGCCGCACAAAGAGCTTCATTAAATGTGAAAGGATATGTCCGCAGTTATGAGCAGAGCACGAATATACACACACACCTATATATATATGTATATATATACTTGTATATATATGTATTTGTATAGATGGGGGTGGGGGTTGGTTTAGTTGTGTGTATTTCGATATCAGAGTCTGCATTATGCTGGCGCTCTTTTGCATGCTTCATTTTTTATGCAGGCACAACACTTGACATAACATAAAGCATACGTCACAGGGCGGCTCACGTTGCGTATGAGTAATTATAATTGTGTGCGCCGCGGACATAAACACAAACCCATAGTCAGTCAAACACACACACACACAATCACAAACACATTAAAGCACATTGAAAGGAATAATCATGCATTCATGTGTGTTCTCACTCAAGAGGATTGCATTTCAATGACGCAGCGGAAGCTTTGAGTATGTGTATGAGTGTGTGTATGAGTGTGTGTATGAGTGTGTGTATGAGTGTGTGTATGAGTGTGTGTGTGTGTGTGCGGAAACTGCAGCGGATATTTTATTTAATGACGAAGGTTTTACGCCATTTTATTGATAAATGCAAAGTGTGCTTGTGAAGTGGAATTGCAATGCGAATGCTGCTCTGGTTGAAAGGTTAAAGTTTACACTAAAAATCCATGTGCATTATATATTGACATTCTGATTGATGCAGCAATCTGAGCTTATATAATTTGAATAGATAAAATGCTTATCAGCTTATTTACATAATTTGTCAGCTTGTCAGCTATTTGTTGAATAAGATAAACGCGTTAAAAAGTTTAGCTTTTTGGATTGATTTTTTCGATATTGGGGTATTTCTAATAAAGTGCGATTTCATTGAATAGTATGATTAAGTAAATCACAAATCGATTTTGATAAATCAAAAACAATACCAACAGCTAAATTCTAAGAGCAAATAATAACCTTAAATCAAGTATCTCCAAAACCTATCCTAAGGTCAAAATGGAAAATAATTTTAAGAAAACTTTGTGCAATTACAAATGTTTGTCATTTTTGGATTGGTATTTAATTTGGATTGGTATTTTAATATTGCAAAAATAGAAAATTCTGCTTTAAGGATTCACGTTTTATGAATTCTTGATTAAGAAATGAATTAAACGAGGCCAGAGACGATCTGTACGAAATGTTGGACTTAGGGAAAAGAAATGAATTAAAAACTCAACAACAAATTTCCTTTATAATTTGTATGCTGAAAGAGGAGAGCTTTAAATTCATTTTTTGGGATCAATTTTAGACTAGTTTTCATAATAATTGCAATGCAAATTTTTACAATACCCTGAATATTTTTTTTAGAATTACAAATGGTAAATTGTGTGATGATTGAGATATAAAGCTCTAAAAAGTTTTGAGAATTGCTATTCAATAGCTATTTAGCCGAGAAATAATGAAATTTCCTTGTATCTTTCATTTTTAAAACACACTTTGTTAATCCTAACACATTTTTCTTTAAGGTCGATCGTGTTTTTCGCAAATTGGACTTAAATCAGGATGGCATTATAACCATTGAAGAGTTTCTCGAAGCATGCCTTAAGGATGATTTGGTAACGCGTTCATTGCAAATGTTCGACAACGACCTTTGATGACAAGCAGATGAGCCGGAAATACGCAATACCAGGACTATAATATCGCTTATAGATCTCTAAATCTAATACACAATGTCGTATTGCAGACAGGCACTTATAGTGAGTTAAGACAAAATGTGCAACAAAATGCAAAACAAACACCAGAAACATGCAACAGAGAAGTAAACATTATAGAAATTAACATTAGTTTAGGCAGCTACGTAAACAAATCGAAATATCGAAACTAAAAATATATGAGTGTGTGTAATTGTACAACAAGAAGAAGAAAAGACGAGTATGAAGAATAACAGTAAAATGAAAAACAAATTTAATGATAAAACTAACAAAATATATAAGTATATATATATGTAATTTTTGAGCATATTATGAATTTAATCCTGCCGTAAAGAGCGAATTGGTCTTATATGTATTTATTATAAATATATAAAAAAATATATATATAACTATGTGAACTTAATTTCATGGAATTAAAATGAAACCACCAACAAATGAAGAACAACACAGCAACAACAACAACAACAAATACACTAAGCTAAAGATAAATAAATGAATTGTTCAGAAGAGGAATTGGTAAATTGGAGAACAAATTTAACAAAATACGCAACACGATTTACTTTACTCGCTAAAATATGAATAAATTACATAAATACTAAGTGTAATTTAGCGCAAAGAAAAACCAAAACAGAACAGAACGTATATGTGTGATTTAAATTACTTAAAGTAGCTTAAATTTCAACTGAATTGAATGCATTTCACACCACATTTTCAATTTAATTTTGTCATACTGAACAAATAATCATAACATAAGTTTAACTTACAATTTCGTTATGAGAAACTAATTCATAAAATTCATAATTCATATTTCGAATTAAAAAAGAAAGAGCAAATTATTATGCTGATATATGTACTTATGAAGGGAGGCAGAAAGTAACATTTTATTATTTAATTACACTTCAAATTTAACACATATTTCCATTATTTCACTTTCCTGCAACTTTGCTGTCAATTATGGCATAAATAACATATTTGACATTCGGAAATCAATTCCATTATCGAATCAATAATAACAGAAATATGCGAAATTAATTTTCAACATAAACGTTTGCATTTTTTTCGCCACAATTCAATGAATTATGCAAAATACGACGACAACCACTTGAAGGGGAAATTTTGCAAAAATAATAGCCGCAGATTTCCTATGAAATATTTATATGTATTAAAACAATATTGTTAAATAAAAATAAAGCCAACCACCGATACTAAGTATATGAAATAGCACCTGACAATTACAGTTTATTTAATATTTATAAAGCAGCTTTTGTTATTATACAGAACAACAACAACTACAAAAAGCACTGCACAGCCTGCCTTTACCATGAAATTCAATTTGCATTTTCGATTTTTCATGTTGTGTGAAAATCAACGCCCAGGCCATGATCCTTACAACACATCATCAATTATTTGCATCGCACATTTTGTGCAATATTTTCAAAGGTATTTTATTCATTTTGTTGGCCAAAGTTAGCATATCAGACATGCAATAATAAAAAACAGTTGCAAAACAAAAGGTTTTAGCAATATTTACATTCAAAGCATGTACTTAACACATAGTCAAGACAATCAATGTGGTTTGATATTTCCTTTCATTTACACATACACATGATCTTCCATTGTTATCTCTAACAAACAAAACAAAAACAAAAAAAAACAAAAAAAAACAAAAACAAAAAACTACAAAAACTCTGAAAATAAATTAAATGAACTACAAATTAGGTGGAAAATGTTTGTGTGCTGCCTGAGATACTGGCATTTAACTTCCTATGTTGCCAATTGTTTACCATCTAAGCTTGCTTTGAAACAAATGTTAATTGACTGTCCAAAATGTGAAGTATTACAACAATTTAGTAACTAAGTAAGAGATCTTTGCCTGAAATTCAATTCCTGAAAGCACTATATCAGCTTTTATGTACCTTGTGGAATATTTTGTGCTATTTCAAACTTTCCAGCTTAACATTCAATACTCATTACAACGCTATTATCTTGTTAAGGTCTAGCTTAGATTTCTAAAAGAAATTCTGCCAAATATGAAATACACATTCCTCTAAAAGTTCACCATACGAACTATTTCAAAACTCTTTTAACTATTTTCTCTATACACTATCTTCCCCGCTTCGAAAATTACTGAAGCTATGGTCAGACTGACAAATGATTTGCATAGTAGTCCTTAACTTGCAGCTTCAAGTAAAAATGTAATAAAATGAAGCATTCTGCTGCAACAAACTTTGAATAGGAAACAAATTTGTTTACACATTATTCGCATGTCTGACCACGACTCAACTTTTTCAAGGCAGTTGATCGACCATTTTCGACAGCCTAATATTTGTTTTAAAGCAATTTTAGGCACACAATAGCTTTATAGCAACTTAACTTAAGTCCACCCTCACTCATTTCCTTCACATCAATCCACAGTCTATAGGGTCACTGTATTTCTGCAATTTCATGATCAAGTCAAATAATTGGCAATACTGAGAGAACGCTTTAGCACATACATACCTACTTAGTACATACCGACTAAATATGTATAAGTATTAACCCCTACAATGGATAACTATGCGACCTATTTGGTAAACCACCCGGCAATTTAAATTCTATCTAGTAACAAATTTATGCAATATTAACGTACTTGTACACTGTCCACTAGGTATGATGACATGATTGCGTTGATGGAATCAATGATTAACACCTACTATACACCTAAATGTCTAGTAAAGTAAATAAAGAAATTATGACGTCTATACTGAAAACGAAACGCTTACATAAGAAATTCAAAATTTATTTTACTAAATATGGAACTTTGATTATTTTTAGCAGCTAATTGTTTAGTATGAGTAAATTATATTAAAAAAATAAACAAATTGTTTAAGTGTCTAAGAAGCTATTCCAAAGAAAGAAAACAAAACATAAATACTAAATTAAAATGAAATCCAATTACTAATTCGTATTGGCTTAGCTAAGCAAAAGAAATAAATAACCGACATATTTAAATACTATTTACATTTTTAGTCATGTTTTAGCTAGCAGGGACTTTAGCCATTGCCCTAACTCGAAATTGGATAGAGAGTCCTTTGAATTGGAAGTTAATTTTAAACTAAATTAAATTCGTACGTTTAGTTGAAACTAAATTAAATCAAAATGTACCTAGTAAATGTAAATTATGATAATAATTTTTCAATGTAAGCTATTTAAATTAAATTTAATGTATAGACCCAATTGGAGCGCAGGCAATTAAATGATATTCAAAATGTTTGCACATCACTTCTATCATGATAACAAAAGATAACAAAGTCCTTCATTTACGCTCTTTTCAATTCAAAACCTACGAATTACAAATATTGCAAAAGAACTATTTTGCAAAACAAATACAATTTAAAAACAACAGCAAACGTGGTTAGTGATTTGGATTGTTCATAAGTACATACACATAATAACGAACTAAAAGTAATTCTTAAACAAAGCAAACTACATACTACTTATTATAATATGCGACATCTTTAAATTACATTTATTTCATTGTCTTATAATTAAAAACAAAACAAAAATACATATATACATAACAACAAAAAACATGAAATCCCGTTCAATATTTAGAACGCGTCCGCAGCTCCTTGTCAAATAACAAACTAATTGCATGAAAAGTACATAAAAGAACTATTATTTATTATTATCATGGCAAAGCATTAATGTTGCTATTCAGTTTATTAGTCACAGACTATTCGAACATTCCCATTATTAACTGTTAGTTCAAATATAGTGTTACCGAGAGACTCTTATTTTCGGCATCATTGCAGTTTACTTTCAAATAAAACGTTTAGTTTTTAGCAAAAATAATAGTAATAAGTGGAGAAAATGTTTAGAAGATGTACTTTCTTGTGCTATTGTATGATTTCATGAACAAAAAGAAAAACACATTTTAATAAAAATAAAATTTAATTACATATGTGCATAGGTTGTTTCGGTTGTTATTTCTTACCCAGCAATGGTCGCAGGAAATTAAACAGGGAACTGCCGAAGCACATGGCTGCCTTTAAAATCGATTAGAGAGCAGCAACATACACCTGTCTGTCCTTGCGATTATCATTATATATTGAAGCTGGCGGCCAAAACAGATGGCACAGTGTTGGCTAAAATATTCTGAATATCTTATTGGATATAATTATTTGCATTGCCTTTGAAATCGAATATAGCGCAGAAAGATAAACCTTTGCGTTCATCATTATACAAAACATTTTTAACTTGCAGCCTTTGTCCAGCTCTGGATCGTTCACAGCACTGGTCTCATTTTGATTATCATTATATAGTATATATATATGTTCATTAAATATTGTGTTAGAAACTGCAGCTCATTGTGCAACGGAAGCCATCTGGTCATGCGAATCCAATAATGCCGAAAAAAGTGAACCGATTTCTAAGACAAGCAAGAGGTTGAGTTCCAGGCACACCTTTTTATACTTGTTCCCGGAAAAATTAATCCAATTATTAATTTTTACGGAATATTGCTATATCTAAAATTTAAAAATATTCAAAGTCGTGCGCAACCGACTCTTGAATACCCTACATCCAACCAAATAATCAGACTAAGATGTCGCTATAAAGAAAACGGTACTATGATAGATTCCTACATCGATCGTCCTTTGGCAGGTATATAAATATGCGCTCGAATAAAAACCTACATTACCAAGATGTCTGTGGTGGTTGAAAATATCTCGATACTCATACGGACGGACAGATAGACAGTCAGACATGTCTATATTCATTCGTCTCAACATGGGATCTGCTACGCCTCATGTTGCAAAAATCAATTCTGGAACGCAAAAAACAGTTATATGTAAGAAAGTTTTTTTTTGTTTCTATAAACTTTAGTATTTTATTTCCAACGACTATGAAAGTAGACTGCGGTGCAAACTATCATTGGTTCCTGCTCTTGAGTCCAGCATGAGAGATTCAATAAACTTCCTAATAATTACTTCAATGCTTTAGAAACCTATGATCATTCATGCCTATAGAGATAAAAGACATTCCACACATTTGTTTAATAAATGTTAGTTTATTTTAAATATCAATTGTATGCCGCTGCTTTTTTATTTCATTGAAATTTTATGAAGTGAATTTTATGCAATTTTTTCTTTAATGGTATGGTAAGTATTGTGATTTAAATTTAAGTTTTATACTCTTTTGCTGCTTTTGTTTTTGTGTTTCCTTTCCTTTTCTTGTTTCTAAATTGAGCATTATCTTTAATTATTCTCAAGATTATTTCATATTGCTTAGTTTTGAGTGTCTAGATTTATGTTACTAAACTTCTATAGGAGAACAAATTCAGTTTTCAAACAATTTAAAGTGTCGCATCGAATGTTTTTAAAATGTTCAGGAATTGAAATCGAATTAAAAACCTTCTGACGTTCAGTCGAACAGGTGAGTTTTGATAGACCGGTTCTAGTGTCGAGGCATTCGTGACTACAATGAACAAAACTGTGTTAAGAAATAGAAATAGGGGATGTTAATTAATCATAGATTTCTTTTTGAGACAAAACTGATGTACTGTGGAGATATTTTATACACATATTTTATCTATACTCGTATATATGATAATTCGGTATGTATCTGGCCCTTCACTACAATAAGCCTTTATTCCGACAAGACTGTGAGAAAAAGTGTCCCAAGGACACAGAAAAGTTGAGTCTTAAGAATTGAAATCAGATACACAAATACGAAATTATATCAACATTTTTGTATTCCTATTTATTGCATTTTGCCTTTTTCTCTTTCTAAAAAATTATCTTTTGTAGAAGTCGCTGGAATCCAAAAGGAGTTCATATTGAATAATGACAGAATATATATTTATTGCTCAGCAATTGTTCATTATTTTTCATTACTCATTTACTATACTTCACTTTTTTTGACTAAATGTTCAAACGAATGGACCTGAATGACTCAAGTACATTAAACATTAAATTTGTCTCAAATTTTATATGTAAGTAAATACATTTAATACATTTTAAAAGTATTCTCAGATTTATTGCTCTGAAAAATTATCCACACTTTTATCTTAAAAGGTTTCTTTATTTCTGTGTTCCATTGACAGCACACACAGTGTAATAAAGTTTTGTTCTCATTTCAACGATAAAAACATAAAGGGATAGAATAGATTTGGAAGATATAGTATATATTGACCATCGCCGAAATTTGTTCATATAAATGTACTACATGCTTATTCGATATACATATAGCTTGCAAATACATTCCTTCGTACCTCCTTCCATACTGTATTAAGCTCCTCTTTTTAAGTCGAGCTGCTTTAATGGGCCTTAGAACATTCTTAACATCCAATTACTTAAAACTAAACATTTTAATTATTGCACATCGGCGTAATAATTTTATTTCTGTTTTAATGAAGTTGATTTATGAATGTTTTTTTACGATTCTATATGATTTGATTGATGGCTTTTGGAAAATGTTGTCTCTGCTTCAAATTTTAAGCTACATTTGAATCTTACTTTTGTGGTATTTGGTAGTTTTTCATTGCTACATGAGTCAATTGGATTCGAATATATTTATATACGTATAGTGAACGCTACAAATTCAACACATAAACGTTGGTTTTGGTGTTCATTTTTGTTCAACACCCTTTACATATGCGTTTTAATCATTTATGAAATGTTTCACTTATGCTAGGCTTTGTTTTTAAACAGCAAACATTTAACTGTGTGCCTCACTAAAATGAAATTACGCTTAGGTACTAGAAAAATGTAAATAAACTTTAATTTACTTACGTATTAAAAATTTATTTAAATATATATATAAGTCTATATATATATATATATATATATATATATATATATATATATATATATATATATATAAAAGTATATTAAAATTTACATTCAACAAATATATATATATATATATATATATATATATATATATATATATATATATATATATATATATATATATATATATATATTTGTTGAATGTAAATTTTAATATACTTTTATATATGTGTATGTATGTATATTGTAAATTTAATTTAATGCATTTGATGTTGTCATTGGATTGGTTGTAGATTTGATTTATTTAAAAAACGTTCATCGAAGGGTACAAAGTATGACGCTCAGGCTACTTTCAACTAACAACAAAATTCATATAACAACAATTAAAAAAATACAAATTCGTTTCGAGTGTGTGTGTTTCTGTGTGGAAAAAAATGAAAATTGTACAAAAAATATATGCAGGTGAGTGTTTCTTTATAAATTAGTGTATGATAAAACTACATATACACATGCGTATACGTATGTATTGCATGTTTAATTGTGTTAGTAAATATAGTTTTGTTTGTTTTTGTTTTGCTTTTGTTTTTAGTACTTGCTTTGACATTTTTGTGATGTGGTTGGTTGTTGTTTGATGTTTAATATATAAATAGTTTTTCCTATATATAAATAATAAATAAACGTTTATTTTTAAAGTGTTCAATGCAGGTAAGTAGATTCGTTCGAAATTCATTCGTTTTGTATTTCTCTCTTAAAGGTTTAACAATTCGAGCGTTTGTTTGCATAAAACAAATGGCAGGGCATGGTATGGCGCTGTTAAATAACAGTGCAGATAACAGAGCGCTGTTGCTTAACATGTGAGTGGTGCGCCTCTGAAATTGGCTTTCAGGATTGGATTACAAAAATAAAAGAAACTTGTTTAAATAGTACATAAAATATTTGGCATATAATTTCGCGAAGCTCAACGAATTTATTCAGATTCTTTAGCACAACATTTTTTGCACAAGAAAAATGATTGCATGTTGTTGTTGGGTCTTTGGATGGAAATAAACATATTTTCCTATATACTTGTATGTATGTATGTATAACTCATCATTTTTGCTTGTGGAATGCAATGTTTTAGCAATTTGGCAATTCTAATTGTCTCTTAAAAAATGGCCACAAAAATCAATAACGGAAGTCAATAAAGCAAGTAGATTAAATAATACAAATTATAAATATCAATTTTTGGCAAAAGACAATTTTCATATTTCATTCTCTTACTTTGCTAGATATATTTTTTATAGTAGTATGTTATTATATATATCTAAAAGTGTTATGCTGTTGAAACGTGATGTATTGCTGTTGTTTGTTTTTTTCTTTCTATTATTTATTTATGTCTATATGCTAAGTAATGCAGAGTTTGCTTTTATGTATGTACGTGTATGTAGATGTTTATGTAAAAACGCGTCTATGTTCTCATATTGTATTGTATTGGTTTTGCTTTTGGTTTTATTTGTTGAATGTAGAAATATTTTAGAAAAAGTTGTTGCATATAAAGTTTCTGCCTTTGCTTGTCTTATTTCTAAGTCGTTATGTGTTTATGTATGTAAGTATGTCTGTTTGCGGCCTTTACTGTGCCTCCTAACAATATTTGTGCTTTCATCAACGGCTTTCTCAAATCTTTTACAAATCGTCTGGCATTAAAAACTTAATGCCTCTGCTTGTATTTTAAAATATATACATAAAACCCCACATACAGTAACAACTCGATATAGTCACAGTTTTATTGCAGGACCTCTAAAGCTCTATGGCTCCAAATTGTAAGGTTAAATATAGTATTGTACAACGATTAACATCGAGACAAACACTTACTTGTGAGAATTTCCTATATTCTTCCGAATATATCATTCTACTTCTTATTTTTGTGAGGTACTCAAAGCTTCCAAAACTATATCGCTTGACTCCGTACCTCGGGCTTCGCACACAATTCATTCCTAGCTGCTTTTTGCTATTTAAAGTATTACAAAATTGTTCTGGTTTTAAAGTATTTCGCTTAATTCTTCTGCCTCCATTCAAGCTGATCGTCTCAAACATCTTATTTTCTTTTGCCATTTCCGCTAAATGCATTTTCACACTGGGCTCTTTTTATTGCCATTCTTTCAATTTTTTCTTCTTTTTTGTCCATCAAACCATGTTATGCCGCCTTACTGTTGTTGTTCTTATTGTTGCTGCTGTTCTTGTTGTTGGTTTAGTAACGCTTATGCTTTAATTTACATTTGGTTTGTTAGTACTTCTCATCGTCTGTTATTTCCCTATGGGAGTTCTGTAATTCTCAGGCCTTGTAATGCTGATGTCTGACCGCACAGCACAGGGTGAGGGCAAAGGTCAGCGATATCAGCTCTAATAGAATAATAATCACAGTTATGGCAAAGATCGTGATCCAATTTTCGTAAATAATATCGATTAGTTTGTCGACGCAACCCTGGAAAAGACAAAGATATGCACGCATTAGCAATTGTTTTTGCAATTAAGCAGAGCGTTTTCAACTTCCATTATTCTCTGTAGCCTGAAGTCTAAATTTGTTTATTCATTGCCTTTTGTATTGTTTGTTGTTTGTTCCGCTAGCTCTTGCAACCCCTCACACCACACCATACCATGCACACATTAAGAAATGCGTGCAGAATATCAATATTAATTAAACTATTTTTATTGCCTTTCTGTGCATGACAGGCGGAGAATTTTTATTAGCAAAACGTCGAACGACCCCACATCGTACGCCAATGTAAAGGATTATTAAGTTTTATGGCCCGGCACTTAATGATTCCCCAACTGTCGCCATAGGTCCATCAATGGGCAACAATTGTGTGATAAAGTCTGTTCTCAGACACACCTACCGATTTAGATTTGATCGATTTTTTAATGAACCTTTTCTGTTATAATGCTTGCCACTTAAGAACAAAAAGATTATTTAAACTCCACTTTAAATCAATCAATTATTTATTTTTATATTTGTACTATAGCTTAAACGCTTGAGGCGCTCTAGCTTTTGAAACATATTGTTTACAAATAGTGTTGAATGTATATATGATTTGGGGTTGAATTTAAATATTCAAATATTATCAGTTTTCTCTGAAAAACGAAACATATTTCAGAGCTCGGAACAGCCCTGTTATCCACCCTAATCAAAATTCGAAATCATGCCTATCTCTTCGGAATATTTACATGTGGTTAGCAGATAAAATGTCATCACCTAAACACATATTGTTTTACCTGCTGATAAATGGCGGTATTCAAAGGGCCACCATATTTCAAACGACGCGACAACTCGCAATCGTTCTCCTTAAGGTTCTCCTTGCAGCACGATTCGGGTATGTTATAGAAGACGTTCATCGAGGAGATGGCAATGTCAACAATGTTCGTGCGATCGACATTATTAAAGCGACTCGTGGCCCAATCTCCAGGTCCGTCCGCTCCGCAACACTTCAACTGTAAAACAAATAAATCCCAGTCAGTCAATAAATCAACACAGTGCTACAAATATTTACATTCTTCTGCAGCGTATCAAAGGTGACTGTGCGTGAGCTCATGCTCGACTGTCCATATTCCTCCTGGACGGAATATTTAACTGCAGCGCGCACAATATCGTCGAGTTTATCTTTGTTATGGAAGGCCCAGGCACCGGCAGCTATTTGTGCCACCATTACGATCAGTATGACGGAGAAGAACTGTGAGTTGGGGAGAAAAAAGGGTATGTTATAGAAGAGATTTATGTAAGTTGTGGGTGTTCTTAGGCTAGAGATGAGTGCGTGACAAAAGTGTACAGTCACTCGATCATGTCGAACGAACTGTATCTTACAAATTTTTTGTTGTTATGCAATGCATCTAAAACAATAGTATTTTTTTAAAGCTCTCTTGTTTGTCACAAAAATATTCAATTGTAATCAATGATAGCTTAATTTCTTGGTATAAGATGTTTCAATTATTTTTAAAAATACAAAATTCATCAGACAGATATTAATTAACATACAAATCTCTCTCATGGTGGGGTGTAACATGAAAAGAAACATCAGTTATCTAAGCATCAGATATTTATTTTAGATCTTTATTTTATTATATTTTACCCACTCGTATAAATCTTCACTTTGTTAAAAAATATGAGAATTCAGGCATACGAATAAATTGTAAATAATTGTGAATGTTCAGATCGTTTTTAGTAGGAACTATATTACACCAACAAAAGCTGATTTTCTTCGATCACTAAATCACGATAGCGTCAAAAGGCCCCTCAAAAAAAGCAATTTTCCACTAAATTGCAACTTCAGTGAGGCGTAGGCTGTGCAGACAGCCCAGCAGACTGGTGTGGGCTTCCACTTTTTTAATTGGATTTTATGCAGTCTGGCGAGATCTGAGCGTAGGTAGAATAACTTTGAGTACATTTACTCACCGATATCAGCAGACACTGCGATTCGCGACAAACGCCCAGGCAGCCAAAGAAGGCGCCCAATGTGATTAGAATGCCAATGCCAAGAAAGACGTAGAGTGCTATGTGATAATGGTTATACGATTGCGTCATGGAGAGCATAAAGGTGGGATCCGTGAGCATCCAAACGGAGGTGACCACAATTGTGAGGCCAATAATCTGTAACGAAACGAAAGTTCAAATTAGAATTGCAGTTGAGGAAGTAGGTCAAAGTTATGGGTTATCACTGCTGACCCAAATAATTAGCTAACTTTGCCACATTTTCGGTATCTCGGGCAATGAATCGAATACACACATCTGCAGTTACGCGCTTCAATGACGCCATGTGCCTTGCTCATTGGCCCGACAATTAAAGTGGCGGCAGCACAAGTCGTGCCAACTACCTCCCAAGTTCCCTCCTCCTCCCAAGCATATTCGAATTCGAGGCATCACCAGTAGCATTATGAAGCATTGTATGTAACTTATGATGTCAGCAGACAGACACAATTTTTCTATATCAATCTTTAATAAGTGTTCCGTTCCGACGGCCGTAAATGAGTTTCTTTGTGTTTGTCTCTAACTGTCTGTTTGCCTTTCTGTCATGTTGCCTGTGTGTGTAGTCTTGTGTTTGGCAAATACTTTCAGTCAAAATATTAATGCATTTAATGTGTGCGTTTTTTTTTCTCTTATATAGTAGTAAAAAACAATCTGCCCAGGCATTGAACTCAGCGCTAAGCCATTGTTATCATTATCACGCCGGGGTTATCGGTAAGAGTAACACTTTGACACACATAATATAAGAAAGTGTTGACTGGGAGTCGGGCATAGTCGGGCGTAGCTGTTGGATTTCGCGTAAGAAAACAATTTAACTCAATTAAATACTAAGTTGTTCGCCTGAATATTTAGATGCAAGCTCTTTTTGTGTACTGAACGGAAACTAAATGATTATTAACAGGAATTCAAAAAGCAACAATAAACAATTCATTCAACGATACATAATAATCGTTCAAAAACAGTAAAAATCGAAGATACAAGTTAAGATATATGGTATTTCAGAGAGCCCAAGCTATGAGATAAGTGAATGGCATAGTTTTGCGTAATAATTGAATAGACGTTTATTGACTCCAATAGACCATAGTTAGGTCAACATTTTGAATACTAAATACTATCTTTCCCCACTTATCAAAAATTGCTAGGTTTTTTGAAAGCGAAGGCTTACATAAAATTTTATAAAGATCCATTAAGGACTGATCTTATATAAAGACAATGAATAAAAGCAAATCTGTTTTAAGTAAATAGAAAAAATGGATGCCTAAAAATGTAATTCCTCTAGAATCTATATACATTTTTAAATAGGTTCATTGATTAATTTGCGATAAGGTTTCAGCTCTCTAATTATGTATCGGGACTCTTATATATTATTATGATATATCTGTGCATTTCAGTAATGCTCTGATGAATACAAGTAGTTGTTGCCTTTATTGATTAACCACTGCACTTACTTATGAATATAGCATTATTATAATTGCGCTTTTCTGGTTTATAATGAGCAATGTCCTAAACATTTTTAATGTAAATAATATACACTGATTCATTTTCCCAGCAAATTTGCATTTACATACATTTCAGCTGGCGTCATTCGACAGGAAAAAGCGTTTGCTCATTATTATATTTTTATATATGAAAAAAAAAAACGCATACAGAGAGCTTGTAGCAGTTCCCTCGCGAGACCCAACGAACTAAGAATAGAATTAAATTGCTTAAATAGGTTTTGATGAACTGGCACACTTAGTTGTAGGCGTGGTTAACTTTATTAGATTTTTATATTCATAGCAGAGGGCAAAAAAAACAGCTGTATATAAGTGTGGAAAAGTAATTGGCATGTAACCGAACTGTATAATAGCTCATTAATTTTTCAGAGACACATTTCCATGTAGGGAGTGCCGGGGCCCAGAAACAATGCGACAATAAATTAGAAATTCCCTTCAGCTTGTGAATGAAGCAGAAGGCCAGATAATTACGCCGAACACTGTGAATGATGTGAGGCCAAGAAAGAATGTATTTATTTTGTTTACTGTTTTTTCTGATTGAGCTATGCTTTTAAAATTTTAAATTTTTCTTCTTCTGTTTAAAACTAATTCGCTATCATTAGCCTACATATATTTCAAAAACAAGCAGTTTCATAATAAAGCTTGTTTTTTGACCGGATGTACATACATACTTTGAAGTTTTGCTTCTTGAAACATTTTTTAGCGTGAACATCGTAAGATACAAGAAAATTCCTTCCACGAAGTTCATTTTTATACTCTGTACATGAAATGTACAAGAGTATATTAGGTTTGCGCGAGCTGAAAAATGTAACAGGCAGAAGGAGGCGTGGCAGACCCCACAAAGTATATATATTCTTGATCAGCATGACAAGACGAGTCGATTTAGCCCTGTCTGTCTGTCTGTCCGTCTGTCCGTCCGTCCGTCCGTCCGTCCGTCCGTATGATCACCTAGATCTCAGAGACTATAAAAGCTAGAGACACCAAATTTTGCACAAAGATGCCCTATGTGTGTACGCCATACGAGTTTGTTTCATTTTTTTGATTTTCCCCCCCACTTCTCCCCTATGGGGGTTTTCCCGATTTTCCATTCGTATAATCGCCTATATCTCGGAGACTATAAGACCTAGGAACACCAAATTTTAGTCCAAGATGCCTTGAATGAATACGCAGAAAATGTATATTTTGGAATTTCCCTCCCTCCCCCCTCTTCCCCGCAAATGCGATTTTCTCTAACTCCCGTAATTCTTGGAATTTCAAACTAAAATTTTGGAAATACCACCAGTTGGTTATTATGTGTCCGTATGTCAAGTTTTACTATGATAGACCGATTTATCAAGAAGTTATAGCCATAAATATATTTGCTGCTGCAGCGATGCTGCAGCGCTGCCCATTGTTGATGTTGATGTTGCTGTTTAGTTGACTGCGAAAATGCTTACACAGACACAAATAGACGCACATAAACATACATACACTCACATAGACGCAATTGCTTTGTATATGTGCAATTATATACCCTTTACGTGAGTTCGAATACCGAGAATGGTAAAATCGATCAAATTTTTTTAAATTTTCTTATTTTTTTTCTATAATTATTGTAAACATATGTACAGAGTATTTCAAAGTCGGGACACCCGACTTTAGCTTTTTTACTTGTTTAAATTATTAAGAGTGAGGTACTGTAAATTTTTAAGATTACAAGTCTTTTGATTCATCTGGAGACATTTCAGTATATTTATTTTCTGGTGAGCTCAAAACACTTATTTGTTTTAGTACCAGAGGAATTCAAACTCAGATAAAAAGCATTTTGTGCAAACAAATTTCGGTCGTATATTTCGTGGGATTACATTTATCAGCTACCATTTCGCAATATATTTATATTATATACGTATGTACATACATACATGCATACATACGTAAGTACATACAAGTATGTATGTATATAAGCAGCTCTGCAGTTCCTTACGTAATTTCGCAGCATTTGATAATATACCATGTATGCATGCGTGTTGGCATGTTTGTAATTCAAGCTGCAGCATTCAAGCTCAGTTTGTGGCTGATAAGACAAAATACACAGAACGGTTGCGCACAAATAGAAAGAGAGACAGAAGGTCGTCTGGGAAGCAGCTCGGTAATCTACAATCTCTCTTGTGCTTTTCGATTATTCAATTAATACATTTTTGCTGTGTCACAAAATGTTATAGCTAAGGGAATAAAAAAGGCAACGACTACAAACAGTGCTCCGGAGCGAAGGAAAGATAGAGAGAGAGGAAGAGCCAATAAACTGTAAGCAGCGCAAAGGACAAAAAAAGGGAATAAATAACAGACAAACCCGTAATGTAATACTTATGTATGTACTTTACATACAATGTAATGTAATGTGAACGTTAACAGCGCCGTCGCATTAACAGTGGTTAGTTCAACCGCAACATAAGCCCGGCTTATACATACAAGTATACACTTATACATATTCTGCCAACATCTGTCAATGCACTGTTAGATAAAGAGAGCTTACGAGAAAGAGCGCGCTTTGCAGAGAGCGCATATTAAAACTATGGCAATGCAAATTGCATGGTGCAGACTGCGGACTATGGATTTGTATGTTAGTTGCTGAATGGAGGAGTCACACACAAGTGAATGCACGCATATGTACATATGTATATGTACCTATATAAAAACACACATATGCACAGTTTTACACGAAACGTGTAACACAAAGTTGCATGTTGCAGTTTTTTGCTACAAATTGACTGAAAAACATGGAATAGCACCACGCCTGTGTGGCAACAAATACGAAATGTGGCTAACATGTGACACACACATAGAACATATGAAATGTATATGAACATACATACATATACAACGTATAGTGTATGCATATACACAGCTTGCGTGTGTGTACTAAATGTATGCCAAATGGCTAATAAAAGTGCAAAGTCCTTGACTGACCTACATTACTGCTCGTTAAATTGCACAATGCGAGAAAGATAGGTAGAGAAGAGTGCAGAAAGGAGCACATAACTTTTACTATGACTGCAAAAATTCTTAAAATAAACAAAGTTCCCAACCCCGTCGTTAAGCCGTTGCATGTCAAACTGCACTCAAAATTAACAGCAATGATTAACCGCTATGTTGCAGCACTTTTCAAAATAATGAAAAATGAAAAATGTTGAGGCAAGCTCCAATTTGAATAATTGTGTGAAATACTAAACATAATGATATATGGATGGAAAAAAACATTGAAATTAATTGTCAGGCGGGTGGGCGGACGCTCTTTCATTTTAAGATGGCCAGGCGGTCAGCATCAGCGTCAGTCACGACGGCATCAGCATTGGAACGTCAACCCATTCGTGGCGCTTGATCAGAGCACTACGCCAAACTACGAGGATTTGGCACAGTGGTGTGGGGCTTACAAAGTTTTTATTAGACAAGCGCGCGCGCCAAAAACTTGCACATTTTTGATGTAATAGCATGGACATTGTTAAATAGGTAGTTCTATTTTTTAAATTTCAGTCATTCACGATTCAGAACTTGAAAATTAATAATTAATTAATAATTCGATTTGAGACTACAACTGGAGAGTTGTGAACGAATTAAAATAAACTTTTTAATATCTTTACAAGCACATGGCTGTGGTCTTTTTTAGCATACATATTTTATATCATTTAAACTGATATAATTTTGTTTATTCCATTTCTAAATTTCATTACATTTTCCATGCACATAGTGCTATCTAGTTCTAGTCTATGCTATGCCTATCATAAACACTTGCCTTGATGCTTTCGACAACATGTTATTATAGATCTAAAACACATCATCGATCATATACACACACACACATACAAACATATGTACATATGTACATATATGCATACGTATTTAAATATAGACTTTAATGGTTATAAATTGCTCAAAGGAACATGTGAACGCGCGCCTACACCCACAAACTTGAAACTTGTGCCACAGTGCAATTAGACAACTATGATGCCGCTGCCGTCGTCGCTGCTTCTGCCACTGGCGTAGAAACGGCCGCTGCAGCAGCAGCCTTAGCAGCAGCAGCAGAAAAATCAACAACAGCACGAAATAGCGGCACATACATATGTTGTTGTTTTTCTAACATTCGAAAATAGATTTTGACTAATAAATACTATAGCCACGAAAAAATCGAAAAGGCAACTAAATGAATATCTAACGTAGAACATGAAAAGGCAGCACAAAATTAAATTGTTACTCAAAAATGTTCAATATGTATGTATATTGCCAAACAAAACATAAACGATACAACAACAAAAAATACAAAGAATAAAAATTGTAAAATTTTAAAGCAATTGATGTTTAAAATTCATGCGGGGCGTTGTTGAAAGGCAGACATCCCTCCTATCTTCCCCACCCACCCATCATCGTTTACAATTGCTGGCAAAACGAACGACGAAAGAATTGTAAAACGCAAAAAGGAAAAGTGGGAGTTTGGTGGTGGCGCACCTAAAAGGCGCCAAATGTAGGTCCTACACACACATACACATAGCCACATATATGCAATACATACATACATATGTTCGTATACACTAACTTTGTTCAAGATAAGAGCAGACGAACACGAAAGCACGAAGGAAAAGAGACGGTTTATAAAAAAAATCAAATCAAATCAAACTTAACTACAAACACCAACACACATGCACGTAAATAAAAACCAGCAGGAAAACGCATAGGAAAGAAAAAATAACAATAAAACAACAACAAATACTACGGCCTGAATTTGTGGCAAGAGACCTGGGAAGAAGGGGAAGGAGAAGCGGCTGCATAACTTCGTGGGTGTCTGTCGCATGCTCCCACAACTAGCAAGAACAACAACAAGAGAGGAACTTCTATTGTTTATTAGAGTAGGGAGCAGCAGCAGCAACAACAACAATATAAATGCCTTGCAGAGAGCGGAGCGTGCGCGGCAGCCTACAAAAGATGCGTAGGGAGTGCTGCTGCCTTGCACATACACACACACAGGAAGAGCAATGAATGAGGTATATAAATATATGTATGTATGTGTGTGTGTACATATGTGTGTTCCAGTTGTTGTTGCTACTGCTTGCTGCCTGTGTTTGTTGGTTGTCTCCGATACATACCCAAAATAAAAGATTTATAAGGACCATCAAGTATTTTACACACGAACAGCAGCCGTTAAGACCCATTTTGTTTGTTTCCTTTTTGGTTACGCGTTATTTTATATAAAAAATGCTTCGTTTATTTTGCCACCACCACTCGTTTATACTTTGCTTGCTTCCTGCTGCCAACAACAACAACACAGCAGTGATTGAGAAAAATTGAAGCTGCGCTTGCAGCAATGCACTTTTTTCTTGCACTCTCCACACTCAAGTGGGATAATATTTTGAACTCTTAAACACACTTTTAGCTTAATTCACTAATTTACGATTGGCCGTTGAGCGCGTTACATTAGCAGTTAAATTTTTTAAATTTTCATTCGTGCAGCAGTAACAGCAGCGGGCGAAGCCAGCTCACGTCGAATGCTATTCTCTCAAATGAACTACATGAACTAGAGCTGGGAACGATTCGATTAAGAATCGGTTGGGTCGATTCTTTTTTGAAAAGTAATGAATCGATATTTCGGTTTGAAATAACGATTTTCTTTACATATATTTATAGATGTAACCTTGTCATTACAAACTTGACGTTACATTATCATTGAAAGAAAGTAAAATATAGCTTATTTCTTGAATTGAAATAGGGAGGATGTTCCATTATTTTAGTCTTCTGGGGGCTGTGTTATTTACGATATTATTATTTATATATGGCTTTGGATTTGCGTGATCGGAACTTATTTATTTATTCAAACTAAACACAACTTAAAGATTGATTTGAAAACCCAAAATAGAATAAAATTCAGCTCATAAATGAACCTGAATTTAATGAATCACTTCGCATACGTTGATCTGGCAGCTCTACGGCAATCGGACTATCCATAGGTTGCGTGGGCGGTCAGAGTTGCCCATTTAGCAAGAAGCGCGAAACAAACGGCAACAAACTGGCCACACCGCAGCCAATTGTGATTGTGGCGTAGACCGTGCACATTTTTACAATATTCAATATTTATTTGTGTATATATTCGCGGCAAGCAATTAACACTTTGCAAATGCAACAAGTATGTGGTAATGAAGCTGCCTACAGTTAGCAGCATTGCGAGCAATATCACACAAGCAAACCGCAGGCAAAAGCAATCAGGCTAGAACACTGCGTCTTTATTTTTTGTGCCTCGCGACTGCGTCCCAGTGCCTATTACAGCAAGAACATGGATGTTGTTTGTGTAATTGATACAACCGTCGATAAATATTTGGAGCAGCGCACCTGCGCCATGGAGGAGGTGAAGCTGGCCGTAAAGGCAGCTGGCGCTAATTTTCAGCGGGTGCTGGTGCGTTTGTTTAGAGCTTAAACATTTTTTGTTAACATTATGTTATACAATAACATTGATCTTGAACGCGTCTTACAGTTTGAAAGATTGGATTTTGGCGAGACGAAAAATTTGGATATATTCTATAATGCCGATGTTGCCATCATAGACTTAAGCATCCTGACACAACAAAGCACGCTATCCTATCATTATGGTGTGCGCGAAAGCTTCGGGATGAAACAAAATATACTCATCTACAACGATGTAGACGATCGCCAGACCCTCAGTCTTAAGGTATGGATACTAATACATGCATATGCCTATATTTATACTTATTGTGTTTCTAAGCAGCTGCTCTTGATTTGTCAGATATTGTTATTGGCAATAAAAGGCAATCGCGACAGCAACAAGAAAAACATATCACATAATCGACGCTGTTTCTGCGATAAGATAAATACTAAGCAATTTAATGCTTGCTTTTCTTTTCCAAACCGCATAAGTTCTTGTTGTTGGTGTAGTTAGTTTACATTTTGCTTCTCAGATGTGTTTCCGTTGAAATGTGTTATTTTTGTTTTGGTATATAAAATGCAAGCAACAGCAACCTGAGAAAAACAATAACAAAATCGGGCCCGCCAACGCAAAAACACGAAACCACACGCACACTTATAATCACACATACACATGCATGCATATACTATAAACACACAACATATCGGCACCAATAAACGCACAAACTGTGGTGCAGCACAGCAGCCGCCATAAAAAGTGGAGCACCCACGTATTTACAATAATAACATAAACTGAGGTACTGCGTATGAGAAGCGCGGAGGAGAGCTCAAATAGAATTTCATTTTAAAATGTGTTTTTAGTCAGCTATTTTATTTAATATCACTAAAAATTATTGTTATAGACTTAAAAGAGAAAAATCATTTATATATGTAATTGGACTTTTTTAAACGATTTTTTTTAAACCAAATAAGTTTAAGACGCCATTGCCTGCCGGATTTAGGTTTAAGTCTAAGGCCATAATTTAATAAATCGTAATTTTAAGTAGTATTACTAAGATTCGAATTCCATTAATATTGCAGTTTATAATTGAATTAAGTTGTATGAAAATTGTAGTGAATTTCATGACTAACGCATTTTTTATATCTTTTCAGCTCTCCTGTGCCAATTACATATTTCTGTCCTACAAACTCAACACAAAGACCAACACATGTAACCTAACTAATCTGGGCAATAAAGAGTCCTCGAGCGAAGGACGTGTGCCTACGCTACAGTCATGCTTCAAGCGCATCCTGCAAGACGTCGAAATACAGTCTAAGTGAGTGCTATAAGTAAAGTAAAAAATCGAAGCTTTTCTACAATACGAGTTTATCTGTTCTTCCCTAGAGCACACATGCGCGAGAAGTTTCTGAGCGACTTGCGTACGGCACGTGATATTCATGCCACAAATGGTGTCAAGCTACAGGCTGTTTTGTATGAGATGCGAAAGCGTTTGGACGATCCACATGTGCTGTCTGGTGAAGTGGTGCACAGTTTTATGTGCTCCCTTCGGGATGTGCAGGACTACGATGCGATGGTGCGATTGGTAAATGATCTAAAAAACATACCGAATACCAGAAAATTTGTGGAGACAGGAAATATGAGTTTTCTCTACGCCTTTGCTTTGAATCGGCGCAACCGGAAGGGTGACCGCGAGAAGGCCTTGGAATCATCCCTTTGCGCACTAGAAAAGAAAGAAAATCACTTTCCCGACATGCTGTGCCTGTGCGGTCGCATCTACAAGGATATTTTCGTGGAATCCGACTGCACAGATGCCACCAGCTTAGCCCAAGCCATTAAATGGTATCGCCAGAGCTTCGAAGTGCAGCCAAATGAATATGCGGGCATTAATTTGGCTACACTGCTGGTCATTGAGGGCAAGGAGTTCAGCAATACAGAGGAATTGCAACACATCGGCATGACGCTGAATAATCTCATTGGGAAGAAGGGCAGCCTGGCATCGTTGACCGAGTATTGGGATGTGGCCACATTCTTCGAGATATCTGTGCTGGCCGAGGATTATGCAAAGGCTATACAAGCAGCCGAATGTATGTTTAAACTGAAGCCTCCTAATTGGTATCTAAAGTCCACAATTGGCAACATTTCCCTCATACATCGGTTTCGTAAGAAGCCAGAGGATCGTCTGCCCACCATTGAGGAGCAAATATTTCAGTTCTGGATGGACTTCTTTCTAGGTGCCACCAACACAGAGGAGATTAATAGCATTCGCTTTCCCATATTGGTATGGCCTAATATGACACTTTTGAGATAGTTATTTAATGATGTTTTTCTTACAGATACTCGAACCGCAGAAAATTTACATGCCCAGTTATGTGACCATTAACATGGATGCGGACGAAAAGTCCATACAGATAGTTAACTTATGTCTCGCGCATTCAAAAAATGAGTGCAAAAAGCTGCATGATTTTTTATTTGTTGCGTCCAAAATCAAATCAGTCAGTCTTTATAAACGGGACGATCGATGCGCCTATTTATATGTGCACCACAACTCAGATGATTTTCAAATCTATTTTCCGTCCACCGAATGCCGAAAGAAGTTCTACAATCTGATATTAGACATGACTGCCGATCAGGAAGTGTTTGTAAATCTCAGCAACGATGAAGCCCAAATAGAGGTACGAAATAAAACAAAAGTGTCAAAAGTTACATTATATTTATTTGTTACTTCGATTCTTCTGCTTGCAGTTCGAGTACGATTACGACGATCAGAATCGTAAAATAGTGCTGGGCAAGGGCACCTATGGAACCGTTTACGCCGCTCGGGATAAGCAGACCCAGGTTCGCATTGCCATCAAAGAGGTGCCTGAGAAGAACATACAGGATGTACAGCCTCTGCACGAGGAAATCAAGCTGCACTCCCAACTCCGTCATCGCAATATTGTACAGTATTTGGGCTCACGTTCCGAGTTGGGTTTCTTCAAGATCTTCATGGAACAAGTGCCCGGCGGCTCACTATCGGATTTACTCAAAACCAAATGGGGACCCCTGAAGGACAACGAGTCGACAATGGCCTTCTATTCGAAGCAAATACTGGAGGGCCTCAAATATTTGCACGAACAGGATATTGTGCATCGTGACATTAAAGGTGATAATGTGTTGGTCAACACATACAGCGGAGTGGTTAAAATATCAGATTTCGGTACCTCCAAGCGCTTGGCTCGCATCAATCCCATGACGGAAACGTTTACGGGCACGTTGCAGTATATGGCGCCCGAGGTCATCGATCAGGGTGTGCGTGGCTATGGACCGGCGGCTGATATTTGGTCGTTTGGTTGCACCAATGTGGAAATGGCAACGGGCAAGCCGCCATTTATTGAGCTGGGCAGTGCGCAGGCTGCAATGTTTAAAGTGGGCTTCTATAAAAAGCATCCTGGAATACCCGAGGAGCTGTCGTCCAATGCGAAGAATTTTATACTACGCTGCTTTGCTATCAGCGTGAATGACAGACCATCAGCCGCGCAGCTGCTTGCTGACGCTTTTCTAGTTGAGTAAGTTTTGGAATATTTGTATATTCACCCTTAAAGAAAGCTCTTAAATTGTAGGTAAAACCAATCAGTATCTAACATATCTATTTCGTTTTTCTTTATTTTTTTTAGCAAGCAGCGCAAACGACCCATACCCCCTCTGAATACAGATTTCGGACGTAGCATATCCGTGCCTGCCGATCGTTTAGTGCACAAAACGACACCACCTCTGATGTACAATACCACCTGCAACACACCGACAACGCCAGAATTGGAGTAAGTGCATCAAAAAATTATATATTTTGGTGTAATATAATACCTAAAATTGTTTTTTTCAGTGTCACGCACACCTCCTCGGTGGACATTGATGAGTTGACCACCAATCAGTTGGTGTTCGATCGTCGAAACTCGTCTGGATTTCTATTGTCACCCGAAATTGAAGCGACCACACCCTCATTGCGTACCAGCATTGGTGAGACAAGCGAAACAGATGGCTTTTATAGATTGAAAAAGGACTCACAACGTCGAACAACGCTGTCCAAAGTGCTGGCGCTAGATGAGTCCAAAATCTGCGATATTTGGCTAAAGAAGATCAGTGCCGATCATAATGCAACCATAGTCATACGCAAAAGTGATCTGCAGCTGTTAATTTGTGGACTACGCGACTATATAATCAATGAAAATGAGAAGCATTTGGAAGGCACAATCAATGAGCTAAAGGAGAAGCTGAACAACGATGCTGTGGCATTAGATCATTTGCATTTGGCGCTATACTCGTTTCAGGATGCTGTCGTTTCGGTGCTGCGGCTGCACTGCATCAAGCCCCACTGGATGTTTGCATTGGATAATTTGGTTAAGCGTGCTGTACAAGCAGCCGTCACCATTTTCTCACCCGAACTCGGCGCCAATTTGGCCGACAAGGATCTTTCTGGCAACGATGATGAGAGTGTGCACACAGCCCAGCAAACGTCAACGGACAGTCAGGAGAAGCCACAGATAGGTCTAGATAAGCCGTTGCCCATTAGCGCCAGTCACAGCGCCAGCGGCTTGACACAAATGGAGAGCGAAGCGGGTGCTATGAACACTTCAGTGGAATGTGTGCGCATTTTACGCGACATACGCGACAATCAGAAGCTACTGCGTCGTCAGATAATTGAGCATCAGCGTCAGAATTTGCGTGCCCTCCACAATATCAGTCATGAGCTGGCGCACATCTATATGGGCGGACGCAAGCGATCCAGGTGATTGTTTTTACTAAACTGTTAAGTCGTGGAAATGCAGAAATAGCTTGACTTGTTTATTTGAAAACTCCATCGAATCAATTAATTGAGTTGATTGAGGTCTCTGTTTAACTGCCCAACGAATTAAATGTAAAGTTTTTATCGTATCGATTTAAAATATTAAATTTAATCAAAATTTTGGGAAACAAAAATAACATTTAATTGCTTCTCCAGTAAAAAAGTTTAACCTCTAGTCGTAAACTGACTTTAATGATCAAAAATTTATAATGACGATAATGACGATGACTTTCTCTTTGCAGACGCAGCTTTAACACCTTTAATAAAAAGTGCCATAGAATGAATCCCAGCAGTGCTGTGCAGCGCAATAATAATGGTGCCAATGTCAATTCCAATAATATTCGGACTCTGAGCAAGCACAACTTTGGTCTACACGAAGTAGACGAGCAGTTGGAGCAGTGGCTGTCCCAGCATGATATTGACGAGTTCTCAAAAACGGTCATCTTGAACGAAGCCTTCACATTTGAGGATTTCATATATAATATGGAGAAAATGGACCTCATGCGTCTGGGCTTGCGGTAAGCGTGGAAATTAAGAATTACCCTATATTAGGCTGACTGTCCTCTGTTATTTAGAATTGGCGTTGAGGTGCGTATTTGGAAACTCATCATACAGGAACGTGCCTGCACCACAGATTTTACGGATAGTGGACAATCGGATATACAAGTATGCCGCAAGCCTGTAACAACAACAACAACGTCAACAATATCCAGCGTCGATGACTTGCTTAAAACTAAAATTAAGAAAAGCGAAAGCGAATATGATTCGTGTACTGATTGACGATTGAAGAAGGCAGCTAATTGATTGCCATTGCAATATTTACCCAAATACCAGTAGTTGTTGTTATTGTTGTTATTTCAACTGATTAATTATTAATGTTAATTTAAATATTTGTGCTACTAACCGCTGGCAATGGTTTATTATGCCTGAAGCGCCTTACAAATTGCATGTTACGCGTAACTTATATTAAGCAAATGAATTTTATTGCAGAATGCTGTTAACTTTTAAGTGCCTTTAATTTAAAACAAAAACAAAACCTGAAAATATATTGTGAAGAATTTGAAATGTGATTTATCGTTTGTTTATTTCTTTTTTCTATGCCCTAAGGAATAGCTAACTCAAGTTTTAAGAAAACTCACCATTAAAGAACATTTCTCATAAATATATGAAATATGCAAATAATGGCTATAATTGGCATTTGTTCGCATTGGCTTTTATCGTTTCTCCAAACAACAAAAGTTCGCGTTACTCAAAAATGAAATGCAATAAAACCTCAGCTTGTGAGATGTTTTAGAATATCGTCATTAGATACAGATATTTTAACCAAAATACTATTCGTCCATTTAGAGACACGTAATAATGATCGGGGTTATTTTCTTTGTAGCCATCCTTGCCGCTTTCGCTTTACTTCAAAACGGGTATCGTTTGCAGAATGTACCAACACAATATGTATCTTCCATCATTTTATACCTCATTTTGCATTTAGTGAAGAGCTCGAAACTAATCATCATCCAGATGGCCAGTAATTTCTATACTCTGTACATGCGTATACTTGTATTATTTAAAATCGGACTACGCCCGATTTGAACTTAAGACGGCGTCTTATTTTATTTATGTAGCCGAATGTCGAAAAGCGGAATAACTGTAATATAAACAATTACATTTAAAACGTAACGATCCAAATTTTTGGAACAGGCTGATTCATTCCATTCCACAAGTGACCTCAAAAAATCAATGGTAATGTTAGTTTAATACATAATGGAATATATCAACATTTTTTAACAAATGTGTGATGACCAGACAACTTACCTCTTCGTTTTTCTATTCTCCTTTCAACCAATCTACTGATGGCTTCAAAGCACGGAGCTCATAAGCTCGATTTTAAAATTCACAGGATTCAGCCTGTGTGCCCCTAACAGTTCCACCGTTACCTTAACAGCGCTTACACGAACTGTTAACATTTTAGTGTTACTTACAGACACACCAACAGTTATATTAGCAGATAAAGAATGTGCGGCATTTACATCAATGTTGTTATATTCTGTAAAAGCCCTCCATTTCCTGGGTTCCTCACAGGCTACTGCTAAACAGTAGGGGGACTTAGCTATTTTAATCCAACCCAATGTTTGATCATTAATTCGACCGATCGGTTGTCAAACAATTTTCCTAAAACTTAGCTCAAAGCGACTGTTAGCAGCAACTGCAATGCTTAACATTTTAGTGTTAGTTACAGACACACCAACAGTTATATTAGCAGATAAAGAATGTGCGGCATTTACATCAATGTTGTTATATTCTGTAAAAGCCCTCCATTTCCTGGGTTCCTCACAGGCTACTGCTAAACAGTAGGGGGACTTAGCGATTTAATCCAACCCAATGTTTGATCATTAATTCGACCGATCGGTTGCCAAACAATTTTCCTAAAACTTAGCTGACAATCACAGCGACTGTTAGCAGCGACTGCAATGCTTAACATTTTAGTGTTAGTTACAGACACACCAACAGTTATATTAGCAGATAAAGAATGGGTGGCATGGACTTACCGATTCAACCCAACCCGACTCAACGTCTGATCATTGATTTGATCGATTTGTAACTTTTTTAGTTCTTTGCCTTTAATTTCTTTTTTTGTTTTTTTGATTTTTAGTCTTTAGTGACATTGCAGTTACACATATGCCATTTACATATGTGTTAACAAATTTTTTATATATGCTGTTATTCGAAAGCGTTTCGTTCTGTTGCTGCAGTTGTTCTTGCTGTTGTTGTTGTTGTAGTTGTTCTTGTTTTGTTGGTATTGATGTTGTTATTATTTTATTGCTGTTGTTGTCGTATGTTGTTGTAGTTGTTGCTGTTGTTGTTATTGTGGAAGAACCAACAATTTATGCCTTGGACTCAGCCTCACTGGCAGTGACCTGAGACTGAGCATCGCTCGACTTGCCATCATCGACCTTGCCAAAGACGCAGCACGGGCATTTCTCCTTCAGTGCCAATCGGTATTTGGGATGGCTATTATAAAGGAAAACTCTATATTGTAGGGAATTCGATAGCTAATTTGAATGAATGCTTTACCTAATGCCATAAACAATTGGATTGTAGCAGGCAGCCGATTTGGCAAAGCAAGCGCCCCAGATGGTGTTCAATGGTGTTAGACCCTCGAATTTGAATAGACCCATGCAGTTGATGATTAAGTATGGGGTCCAGGCCATGAACCACAGTGAGATGGTGACCAGAGCAACCTTGGCGAGCTTGCCCTCAGCACTCTTCTCGGCATCCTCGGACGAGCGCAGAGATTTGACATTCATCTTCTTGGCCTGTTCGCGCATGGCTTTCTCGTGGGCAGATACGGCCTAAATGAGTATTAAAAAAAAGAATAGCATCAGTGTTGTGCAGCTCCATAAAGATACCGTCAAATAGGCGAATGATTTGCACACACAAAACGAAAGCCCAAAAAATTGTGCTATCTTTTAGTTAATAATCATTTTTTGGAGGCTATTTATAATTTTTCTATTTCTAGTTAGTACTTACGGCAATGATGAACCAGTACGAGTAGCAGATCAAGAACAGTGGGATATAGTAGACAAAGATCGAGTAGAAAATCAGATATGAACGTGGATTCCAATCGCGCTCCAAGTAGTCAATGCCGCAGGAAGTCAAATTACCCTCAGGTACATACCTAGCGGATCATTTAAGGTTTGAAGACTTCAGCTTCACTTGGAAATTGTAGCTCGCTCACCTGCTCCAGCCAAATACTGGCGCCAGACACCAAATCGACGACATGAACCAAATGTACGCAATTTTCCCTAATGCCAAGGGTATTGTCATCGGACGGCCGGCCATACCCTTGACAATAACCTGATAACGATCCAGCGAGATCATGCACATGGACCAAATGGAACTGCAACCGAAGGCCGATCCCAGACCGGCGTAAATGTCGCACATCATGGGTCCCAGCACCCATGTCTCGAAGTACAAATTAATGCCCATCATTGGCGTATTGGTGATCATAATGCCGAAATCGGAGATAGCCAAATTAATGACCAACAGATTAGCAGGCGTGCGCAACGACTTTGTGGTGGCGAATATGTAAATGACCACCCCATTACCGCACCACGAAATCATGCCAATTATAATCATGTAGGCGGTGAGAATTTTCGCCCAAATCGGATCCATAGCGGGAAACTGATTCCAATATGGGCTGATCAGGTGGGCCATATCGGGTGTCACCTTGTCAACCACAGATCCATTTGACAGTGGGGCAAAATGTGGCCCCAGTTGTGTGGCTGCTGCTGCAAAGCTAACCCAAACATAAATCCATTAGCCAATGCTTTACATACATATGTAAATATTGATATGCCCTGCCCTACCTCTCCATTTTGAATTTAAATTTTGAGTTTGTATTTTATACGTATATCACTATATCCCGGCTCTCGCTGAGGTATTAAACCGTTTTCTGTGTGAAAAGCAGCAAATTAACTAAAAAATTTCAACACTTTTCACACAACAAATTTCGGTTAGCTGAATATTTCACTGGAGCGGACTATTCGCGGCGATTGGTCGTTAGAAACCTGCGGCTTCACCTGCCCCACTCGACGCTTTTATAGACCCTGCCACAAATTCAATTAGACATCGCACGCGGCTCAGCGTTCGTTGCATTCACATTCTATGGTTAAAAATATCCCAGAGACATGTCCAAGCGTTGAAAGCAAAGCACGCCGATACTGTCGCCGCACCGGACTTATAATACTAATACTTGTAATATAAGCATCGTGAAAATATAAAATATAAAAAATTATATGCACAACGCTGCGGGCCAATGTCAATAGCTGAGATACTTAAATGGCTTCCAGAATATGCAAGTGTTTAAGTATTCAGCGACTTGGTCGCTGACATTGCCATCTTTTGCCATCAATACAGTTCAAGAAGTGGACGCCTTTAATATGTCAATGCAACGCTCATTATGTCACGAAAGAATCGATATGTCTCGAGGAGACTTCAATTTTGCCAAATAGTTGAAGAAAGCTACACCATTAAAGATACTTTTAAAATATATAAAACATCGTTTTCTTTATTGAATTAATTTTAATCTATGCCTATATTTTTTTAATTGCCCAACTTTGGGCTGAGCAGAGGCTCTCAGTTCGAGCGCTGCCTAATACTTATAGTATATATATTTCTTAAAATTGTTGGATGGGCTTTTTAATCTGCCCAGTAGTCAGAAATTATCCACATATTATATTTTTTATTAACTTTTTATTGTAATTCGATTTGTAGAAAATAAATTAAAGGAATTGTAATTCGTACAGCAATATTTTTGTTTTCTTTCGGGGAATACATACTTTAAAATTTATTTACCATTTAAGTCTTTATTTTATCCGTTACTTTATGCCTTTAACTACATTGTGATATGAATTTAGCTATAAATAGACGAACAGCCAAATAATTTCATCCAACAGATCGGTTTTGTTATAAGATATTATTGTAACCTAGAGAGGCATTCTTTTATGAATAAAAGCAGCTTGTTTAATTAAAAATTGAGACTAATTCTTCGAAGCTTAAGAGCAAAAGCAATTTAATTTTCAACCTGAAAGAGCTTTACTTACAACTTAATTAACTTAAAATGTTAGACGTCTTGCAATTGTTTCAATAACATATTTTTCAATTCAGCCACACCAAACTTGGAAAAATCATTAAAATATCTTCTCCATATAAACGGGCACATTTCTTTTACTTTTTTGAGACTTAACACTACATTTAGTATCTTTAAATTTGCAGCTCACAGCTGATTTGTACAATATGTAAGTCCGATTGTTTGCGATATATAAAATTGATTCAAGAATAGTGCATAAAAGAACGTTGTAGTCATATCTGATTTCGATGCATCTTGGATCGCAATTGGCGCCTTTAGATGACCAGATAGTAATACGTAATGCTTTAGACATAGCTCGTGGCTCATAGCCATGTGGGCATACAATTTCGTTACACGGTTTTTTTTTTAGTTTCTTTAGATTCCCTAAGACCTTTGTCTAGCACCAATTTCTAAGCTCTAAAGCTGCAAATTTTAATAAGTTGCCGGGCTTTACGGGATTCTAGAAACTAAAATTTACTTAATTGTAAACCAACTTTTTGCGGTTTTTTTAAAGTGCTTTATAAAATAAGCTCCTCGCACGCGTATTTTTCAGTAATTCACGCACTAATTCTTCAATTTGTTTTGATTATGCATAAAGCCATAAGCCATAATCCAACCAATCCTAAAAATTGTGCTTAAGCCGCTTATATCATTGCACAGCCCACAGATCGAGCAATTCACACTTCAATTGTTTGCACATCAGTGCGACGGAAGAGTACAAAAAATTAATGTATTCGTATATGCATGAGTAATTGTCGCAAACAGTGTTCTACTATATATGTGTCCGTCTCTCTGTCTGGCTGTCGTATTAGCTGTTTATGTCACGCTTTCAACACGTCACTCGCCACATACGCATTTGCATGCTTAAAATGGGTCAAATATTTATGTACCTTTAAGTATAGTATATATTATATATATCTATGTCTGCATATAGAGCTAATCTTTACGCTCACGCGCCACCACGCTCGACCAGCCAGCTCGGGCTCGAGCTAATGGCCCATCCAACCATATAAGGCTGATCTCCAAATAATAAATAATGCAGAGCAACGAGCAAACAAACGACTGTCAGTTGATGTGACAATCAACATGTGTAAAGGTTAAGATCTTTTGGTTAAAATCAATTACCGCAAAAAATGACAGCAGCAGCAACAACAACACAAACACACATATGTACTTACATATATACAGCATGTTGCAAAAAAAAAACCGAATACAAAATTTTGTTAAGCAAGTAAACAAATGCGCAAACGCAAAACCGGAAGCTGCACTCCGTTCGCCACACAGTAGCAACATTTGCGGTTGCCATTTCTATGTACAAGTACATATGTAAGTGTGTATATACTCGGTGTATGTATGTATGTATGCTTGTTAGATTTAACAACAAACAGGTAAATAGCAAAGATGCCACAAATAATTTATGTGACAGCCAGACAGATACAAAAAGTTCGTTTTTCTTCGACAAATAAACAATAGCGCCCACCTGCAAAATATACTAATATAAACAACAATATACTATACAACACATTTAGTATATAGACAAGTTCAACAATAACAACAACTACAATACACATATGTACAAACAATGCAGCAAACATCATCATGAGAGAAAAAAACGCGACAAAAATAGTTTTTTAGCTAAGCGAAATAAATGTTTCAAGTTTTTTGTTGATTCTAAAATTCCATTTTGTTGGGCTGTACGAATTATGTATATTAACTAATGCGAAGCTTAAATACACTTACCATTTTTAATCAAATATTGAATGAACTGTGTTACTTTAAAAAAACAAACAAACAACCACCAGATTCACTATAATTCTCAAAAAATTTCTGTACCTTCAAGATTTATTGATTCCCATATAAAGTAATACATATATCTAAAAGTGTCATTAAACTGTAAAAATAACAAGTTATTAAAAAGTAATAAAATTAACCTTATTATTTAACAATCCTTTTATATTCAACAACTCTTAACTCATTATCATTTTCTTTAGCAATTTTTTGTTTTGAGTAATATTAATTTTGAATAACAGAAATATTAATATTACATTAAGAAATATGCATATTTAATACGTAACCGGAAATATTAGGCATTAAAACTAGAAGACTAATCAGAAAACAAATTAGAATTGTAAATATACCTATCAAAACATGGTAAAAATATCATACATTATTTGAAAATACTTTTATGATCTTTAAACACTAATTTTAATTCTAGTTCTAATTGAGTATTAAAAGGTTATTAGAATCCCAATAATACACTTGTGTATCAATTTTATTAAATTGAAAATGTATTTTAAATATGTAAATATGTATATTAAATTTTAATATATTTCTTTTAAAAGTTTTTAAAGATTTATTCAATAAAGTTAAGCGAATGAATGTAAGCCCTAACGAATACGATTTATTAACATTCTCTGTTAAAGCCCATTCATGAATGAATGAATATTAAAATGCTAAGTACTACGATTTATTAACATTCTCTGTTAATAGGTGAGGGTATGTGATCAGCAAACACCTATCATTTGATTTTTGTTGAATGGCAATGGGTTGATGGCGTCGATGTCGACGTCAACTGCATGTGTGGGTACACGACGTCGGCAGCGGCGTCGGCAAGTGTCGTGGTCGTGTCTGCTATTGCGTTTGGCACTTGGCGGTCGGTTCTGCGTCTGCTTGTGCGTGTATTTGTGTGTGTGTGTGCGCGTGTGTGTGCGTGTGGGGGGTATGTGTAAGTGAGCGAGAAGCTGGAGCTGAGTAAATGGCGCTCAAATAACGCCAAAGTAATGGCGATGGCGTGACGAGCGAGACATTTTAAACGTGCGATCGTACGAATGCGAGTGCGAGTGTGTGGGTGCAAGAGCTGATGAGTGTCATTACCCTGTAGTACTGAAAAAGACAACTGTAGTTGGCGAAAACTAGTGGTCTACTAAAGGGATTGTAATTTATTGACCAAGTGACTGGTGACAGTGTCTTCCAAACATCGACTTAAAAGAGATTGCAATTTGGGGGACGATAAGTAAGCGGATATAAGCAATTGTCTATAATTTAATATTTCTGAAAAATTATAAAGGTAAAAATAATTAAAACATTAAATCACCATAGTTGCTTAGATCGTCTTAAAATGTTGTGCAAACAATTTTCATGTCTTGGGTTCGACAGTACAGCGAAATTTAAAGTAAAAATATTTTTAAAAAAGTAAACATGTAAAACTAAAAGAAAGAACTTTTTTCCTTTTGGCACGACGAAATTTAATGACAATGAATGTATTGTTTGGTGGCGCTTAGGGTCTGATGTATAAAAATTATAATTATACACCATACCGTGGACTCGAAAATAATAAAAATAACAAAGAAAATGAAGAAAACATAAGGAAATTTATAAATAATAGAGAAAATTCAAATAATTATAGGGCCATATCGTGGACTCAAATGTAATAAAATAATAAAGAAAATAAAGAAAACATGAGGTAATTAATAAGTAAAGCAAATAAGTAAAGGGACGTATTTTTGATCGATCGGATTGCTAACGAACGCTTGCAAACAAAATTTGTTGTTCCACTTATGGAGGGACTGTCGCCCGTTACTGCAGGGCAGCGTTGCAGCATTGCAGCAACAACAAAATAACATGAGTGGTGGCAGCAGCAACAGCTGAGAGTGAGATCATTTCTGCTGCTCACTCACACTAACAACACACACAGGCACACATAGCCTCTCACTCACAGCAAGTGATGTTATTTTCAGCTGTCAGAACAAGCGCGCACGGCAAAATTTACAGTAACAACACGAAGCTGAGCGGCAGCGGCCCGCGTGCAATGCGCTCGGTTCTTTCTTTCCTTCAAATTCGATGTATTTTCGTTTTCGCTCTTCTATGTGGTAGTACGAGCTGTTCTTGTTGTTGTACGTAAATTTAGCCGTGTGCCTGTGTATGTTGTATTTTTATTTTTTTAATT